TGCAGCTGTAACACAGAAATAATGATTTCCTATCCCAGTTTACAAGTGGCATTAATGGTGAAAATGCTAAAACCCATCCATTCTCCTTACACATAACTAGCCTGGAAAGTGTTCACACCAATTTTTTTCTGTCTCTTATAACAAAGACCTGCAGTGACATCTGTGATTCATTTGGTAAAACAACTATCTGTGGTGACAGCTGACGTTAGCAGCATGGGCCACAGGTATCTGTTACTACTACTAGGATTTCAATTGGCAAGTAGCTCAGCACAAATTAAGACTGAGTTTTCCCTACCTCACAGGAGCAGCTCTGTACAAATTATACAAGTGTACCTTGTACTTTTCAGCCTTCACTGCACAACAAACACAAAAAAGATGCTGCCCAATGGTTTTAGTAAAGAAAAGCAAAGAGATTGACTTTCACAGATAATTAACAGATTTCTGGCATGCTTTGAAGCACAGCTACCAGCATAGCAATACACTCTAATTTTATCCTTTTAAGATACCACATGGGATTTAAAACCTCTAGGACAAGAACAAAATACTTGGGCATTTACTTGTCCCAGGTGATTACATGCTGCTGAACCTCTCCCTGCTTCATCAGCAGCTTCATTGGAACAATGACAGGACCATGACTAGTCCTTGTCCACAGTTCCTCCATCAAGAATATATTCAGTGTTTTTTTTTTCTTAAGGGACTTCAACTGCATGATGAAACACTTATTTCCCGGACTTGAGACTGAAAGTTCAAGTGAGTTGAGGAGTCAAAGAACTTATTTTCTGTGGTTGAAATGCACGAGTGAGATTTTGGCTTCTCTTTCCAAATGCTTGATATACAGTACTAACACCTGAAGCTGGTCACATAGGAGAAATAATAGTAAGAAAGAAAAGTATCTCATGCAGCTGTTGAGCACAGACTTTTACATAGAGGTGCAGTGGTAGCAGAAGGGGAGCTGGATGAGTATCCTCAATACTTGTTTTGACTTGAGCACTTCCAGCTCCCTGCAGGAGCCCAGTTCTATGGCTTTATTTTGCATCCTTGCCTCTTGACCTGAGCCCTGGGCACTGCAACAACTGAACATCCCTTTCTCTCCCCAAGGCCCACAGATCTTAAGCCGTGCCAAAACAGGATTTTGCTTTGCTTGTCACCTTGACAGAGGCAAGCAAGTCAAAATAAAGGAAAAGATGACTGCAGCTGGCAGTAAACCAACCATTATTTATTTTTGTTCTTCAGGCTTGCAGGGAAAAGTGTCTCCATTTTAGAATATTTTCACCAATTTAGTTAGCAGGAAACAAAGGTAGGAAGCTGTTGCCAGTCTGCAAGGCAAAAAGCAGAGCATTAAGCACAGCACTGTACCTGTAAGGAACGTGAGGGAATGAAGATGGCCCCTGATACAAAACTGCATATTCCTCCACTTTTTTAAGCTTTAGCAACATTTTTTCCTAGATCTTATTAAGTACATCTCCATAGGGCCCTGCAGGGTGTTTGACAAGCATAAGAGGTAAGTTCTGTACACTTAATCTTCCTGTACTTACACCTCATTTGTTCCATTCACATCACTGAACGCATTTCACCTGTTAGGTTGAGAGCAGAGCCGAGGCCCCAATGTGTTCCTCAGGTGGTTATTTCCTTACAGCTTATTAATGCACAGCAGGAGAATAATTCTTTCAGTAAGTGCTGGTAGAAGGATTAGATATCCCATGCAATCATCCATTTGCACCGAGCTGCAAAGTCCTTGTGCTAGAGAAATCAGAATAACAAACTCAAGAGCATTCTGAATCCCTGCAGTACTGCAGCCCTCGCTCTGACCCAGTGGCTTTGTCTCTTGTTGACGCAGGAACAAACCTAACCCTGTTCTGTAGGCTCAGGGGTTAAATTCCCAGCAAATATTTGCAGTAAGGGGCCACCCCTGTACTTGCTCCATCCTGTCAGCTCCACTTATGTATCCCACAGCTGCCTCCATTCTTCTTCCTATCCAGGTGAACAATAGCAGAATCAGGTACAGGCTTTAACAGCTTTTGCTGCCATCAGCAAAGCAAGCAAATGGGAAATGCATTTAGCCAAATCACCATTCCTATCTTCATTTTGTCTGAGATTAATTCAAATTGAACTACCTTTCTTCTACTAAAGCTCCTAAAGGTGGAAAGCATATAATTTGTTCCTGCTCATTTGTGAAGGAAATAAGGAAAAACCTCGCAAGTTAAATACAAGATATGGAGCAGTGAACCTGTTACGATGTATGAGCTCAGTGATACATTCACAAAGAAGCTAAAATATCTAATGCATTATAGGAACAGGATGTAATCTGGAAGTGAAATAAGTAGATTTGTGTATTTGATCACCCTTCCCCTGTGGAAAGAGCACTGCTTTTTTATTATTATTTTCTGAAACGTCACCTCCATTTACTTTGAATTTTTTGTTTTACAAAGTCAGTTTCTGAAAGTTTTAAAATTGTGGGGAAATCCGTTAAACACTAAAGCAGAAAGTTTATGTACAATATAAGAAATTAAGTGTGGGTATCAAATTTTCTGACAAGAATACCAACTTTTCAAAGCTACTTTAAGTTCTACCTGGAATTGCTCTTTCAGTTCAAACTGATGGCTAACAGCCTAAGGAAAAAAATCCTGGAGAGAACAACATGGGGCCTTCCCTTTCATACAGACAAAAATCAAATTGAAAACATGCCATCTGAAGTTGTCCTAGAGCTGGAGGCACTTGCTCGGCCTCCACTCCAACAAATACTGCATTCTTACTCTGGATGACCAAATCAGCAAGGGAGCTGTATTCAATGCTGTGGTGTCGTCAGCATTCTCGTGTACTGACTCTCGTATAAAATTACAATGAATAATCATCCCAACCATTCCCAGATTTTTTGTATTCATCTGATTTAAGGCAGAAGATACCAGCTCCCAGATCCTTCTGAAGGCCTAAGGCACTTCTTCGGGGTTGAAAAACAAACCAAAAAAAAAAAGGAAGCTACTCTTATTTTTGCAGATGTGCAGCACTGTATCAGGAAGGAATCAAACCACTCTGCCACAGTATTCCATAGGTAACCCACAAAACGACATCATGCAATGACCTGATGCAATTAGGATGGCTGGAAAACCATGGGTCCTATGGAAAACAGTGACAGTATCAAAACTGAATTCACTCATTACAACATATTTATTGAGATGGTGGGTTTAAAAAAATACCAAAACAAGAAGTGCATGGTTAGAAAATAACTAGGAATACATTTAAATTTAGGGAATTCGATTTTCTCTGGATGTAAGAACAGTGAATTGTGGAACAGTCTCCCAACAGAAGCAGGCAGGTCAAAAAAAAATTGTCTTAAGATCTTGCTGGACAGTTTGTAAAAGGGTTGATGTGTCAATACTGCCTGGTAAAAACAGGGATGGGACCTGATAGTTCAGAAGGTTCCTACATTAAGGGATTATTATAGCAATAAACAGACTTTGCTTACTGTAGGTCTGGTAATTACAGTCTTTTTCCACACTGAATGACTCCTTAAGTTCTTGACCCTCTCATTGTCTGTGAATATTACTTTTCTGTAGAAGCAGTTTTACTATGTCACTGAGCCCATTTCAACCCTGTGCAAAGAGACCTGGGGCATAACAAGGTCTTGCACTAAAGCAAATTTCAGAATAAGCCTCTAAATGTAATCTATATGTCTAAATACCAAGCTCTCCCAAGTAAATGGGGCTGTACCCATTTGCCTCAGAAAGAACTGAACCTCTGAACCCCAGTAAAATTAATCACAGGGTATTATGCTAAGAGCAGCAAGAGATATTTTCCAAAGTACATCCCAAATACTGTGAAATACTTCAGAATCAAATACTTTGCTGAAATAGACTAGGACATTGCTTGACATTCTGACTTATCTGCTAATCATTTTGGATGGCAAAGGTCTGGATTAGCTCATAAGCAGTCTCTTCAGGCTGGTGTATGAAAGCACAGTAATTAAACAGAGCTATGTAAATACAAATCTTGTCGGGCCAAAAAGACTGATAGATACATCTTCCTCGATGCATACTGAGGGCCTCCTTTTCCCTGATCACCAAAGAGGTTATCGTAGTGACTACAGCCCAAGGTAACGTTCTGGGATCTTCATGCACCAGTGATGTTATAAAGGGATCACCAATCCTGACAACTGGAGTGTGCCTGATTTACAAACTTGGTTTCTGCTTGTGAGGAAGACATGCTTTTTTAGAAGACAGAAAAGCTAAAATGTCTTTTCTAACTCTTAAATCTACTGCCAAGTTTGAACACTTCAGCACTTGAGAAGAGCTAATAACAAAGCTGAACGTGCAGCCTTAATTATACTTCAACATGGATCATATTCTACACATGCACTCTTTCAAAGGCCAGTTTTATTTTCTAGTTCTGTAACTGTTAGTGTTTTGAGCTAGAAAGTTTCTTTAGCACTATCCAGTTGTGCTTTAAGCCCAATGATGCCTCGACTATGGACATTTGCCATTACATCACATACTTCCACTGCAGCTCTTTTTAATTAAAACGGATTATTTCTTCCGGCTGAGCTACTAAATCTGTTTTCTCTGGGTACTTGGGCCAGAAATTTTATTGCCACTCTTGCTGCAATTGCCTGCTAGCCTTCACTAGCTTGTATTGATCTGACACAATCCACATTTATAGATGCCTTCTGAATTTGTTTGAATTCAATCTAAAATGGAGTTGATTTGGCCACATCTTCCCTCCAACATACCCTTACACAATATAAAAATAGCCTCAGCTCTTCTATAGCTCAGATTTCTCTCTGCAGCAGACTTAATATTAGTGCACTGTGACACATCATCAGGGTCAAACCCCTGCAGCACAGCTGAATGGGATAACAATACCATAGGACATAAAAAAAATAGTTACAGCCGTAACTGCTCATTGCTAATTATATTAGGTGCTGCTTATTTGCTGGTCCTAGTTTCCCGTCCTATACCAACCAGGCTTGGCCATCTGCATACATAGCAAGAGCAGACACTCTTTGCTGAACCCTGAGCTTCATTTCACATCTCAGAAGCGGCTAGCTTGCATTATAAGCTGCTTGCTTTCCTCCCCATTTGTCTTCAAGGGATAAACATGCAACTGGTTAATTGCAGGACAGAGAGGTGTTACAGCTTGTAGTCAAAAAGCCTGAGGACAGATATAGTACCACATGACTGGCACTTACAGATGTGAATGCAGTATAAATAAAGAAGGAACAATAAAATTAATCTTCTGTCCTCTCCGTAGCACTGACTCAATTAAGAACTGCTGTAGCCGAATGCTATTCAGGTGTGAGGTATCCAGCCTACACTCGTTACCTTCAGATTAGCCTATACTACAAAGAATCATCTAAACTCAAAGTACTTCTAGCTTCTGGGGTTCCAGCCAACAGTAATGGCACACAATTAGTACTTCTCAATAGACATTCACTGCTGTGCAGTGTTCAGTTCACGCCTTTCTAGAAAATAAGATTTATGGGCTGTTAGGAGAAATACATGTACCAGCTTTCTGCAGCCTTTTTGTAGCTTAGCATCTTACAACCATCTGGACTTTGACAGACAGATCTAACATGACTTTGCTGCCTTGCATCCGTTTCCTTTTCCAATTCCTTGTGGAGATGATGGAATGCCAAGCCAACCTCTGAGGGATACTGGCTTCCTTGGTTGACCCAGGAAACAAGTACACAGAATAAGTGATTCAGCTTTTGGCCACACTGGCATTTATGGAAGACATCTCACCATTCATCTCTGCGCCCCAAATGCTGACACCATCCATACTATACAGATAAGTAAATAACCAAGTAGCAAACTAAGAATTATTCTTAAACAGCTTCCAGCTGAAAGGCCAGCAGGTAAACAAGTGCCTGCTAATTTCTACTAGCAACTTTACTATGCCCATTCAGCAACTTTTCCCAGCTTGTAAGCATGCCTGACAGAAGCCAGACTGATAGGATATCACTGTCAATACATCAACTACCTAAAATCATCTTCTGTTTACAAATAAAACATTTTTGAGTGTTAATATTCAAGAATAAGAGTTACAGCCCATTTATTCTATAGCAAGACCACACAGTCATTCACAATGACAAAAATGCTTTATGGAATTGTTCTGCAAAATCTTGGGTCAAAGAGACTCCATACCAGTCTACTGCCAACTCTGGGTTCCCCAGCCCATATCAGGTTGATTTGCTCATTTTACGTGGATTCTCCCTGCTGGCCTCTCGCGTTCTGCTTCCATATCAAGGCAGAGTGGGAAACAGTGGATTCCAGGGTGCATTAGCCACCAGCAATCTGACAAGAGAAGTGCTATTGCATATTTCCACCCTTGAAGGACATCATACTCAGTCCTGAAAATATAAATACTGCATATTCAGGGCAACCGAAACTAAGACAGAGCTTTTGCCAAATGAAACCACAGGGTGCAGCAGAAAATGGAAATTGGCAGTGAGCTAGAAGCAGAGAGACACCAAAAACAAGGGGAGAAAAATTGGAGCTGTTTCCTGGCAACAAAGCAGGATGCAGTGGTCTGTTAGCTAGGAGCCCTGCAAGTGTAATTGCTTGTGTGCAATCTGGACCAACCCCCTCTTAAGGAGGTCTTGTGCATGCTGTAAACACATTATCCTAGAGCATGTGCTGGTGAAGTCTGCTTGGCAAAGGAGAAGTTTGTTTCTGCTTCATGTGGTAACAGTGCCCGCAATATCATTTTGCAATAATTGGAATTCCAGAAATAGCAGTATAGATAGTTAAGGCCCTGTTGTACGAGTGGTTTTATGAAGAACAAACCCATGGACAGTCACATTTGTTACGGGTTTATATGACCAAATGTACCTTTGTGTTTTTCAAAAGAGAAATGCAAACAAAATAAAAGACTCAAGTCAGATACAGAAAACAAATGCTTTCCCTTCGGTAGGAAACCACCTAATCAACTAATTGAGATAACCAGGTGAGGAGAAGCAGTTAGAAATTGAAGATAGTCCCCGTGCATTTGTTAATCCAAAATCTTATTTCTTTGTTTGCTTTGCTAAGTCTCTGACTTAATTTGTGCAAAGGAAATCCTTCACTGCTTCAGTGTGTGCAAGACATACCATCCTGTGCTTTCTGTGCACTGTGCCTTCTGCTTACTGTCAGGAGTAAAGCTGGCACCTTGCTCCAGGTATCTATCACCTACGGTACTTCTAGGGCAGAATGAGGAATGAGCACATAAAAAATGTTTCAAGATCCTGTCCTCTAATTTACCATGATTAGTGGATCCAGAACTTCAGATATAGTTTCCAATTTTATACGACATAGCCAAGCAGCCAGCAAAACCCACTTTACATATCCTGATTGTAGTTACAGTGTCGGACAGTAGCTCACAGATCATTGCTGGGCTTCCCGTTTCTCTCCACATGTTTGTTCTGAGAATCATAAGTGCTGGAAAAGACTCTAAGATCATCCAGTCCAACCAACATCTACCACCAATATGCCCACTAAACCACGTTCCTCATTCTCCCTACTGACTACCTGAAATATTACACTTCTGTTTCAGTGCCCCTTTCTTCAGCTCACCAGTGAATATCATGCTGGTATACCACAACAAACCAGAAGGACGTTTAGCCTAGAGTGCTTTCTCCAGTGGTGGCCAACATCAGGCATCAGTGGCTGCCTGCCAGAAGAGAGAAATATTTATGTACTTTCTCTCAATGATTTTTGGGATCTAAATCCCTTTACAAAGATACTATATGGCACATATAACACATCATAACCCATGCTCAACTTTTGAGTTTTAAGTCTTTTGAGCCCTGTACACTTCCATCATCTACAACAAACAGCTCTGCTGTTCAGCATTCAGTTGCGTGAATTACTTGTCTGAAAAGATCTGTGGTCAGCTCAAGCACCTCTTCCTTCCCTTATAGCCTAACAACCACTTACATATGCAGAATTATGATTCTTCTTTCTCTAATCAATTTTGAAAACATACTTTTGGAGCTCATAGAAGTAAAAACTCAGGACATCTGATCTGGAGAATTAATTCTATTTGATGTGGTTTCAGCAAGCTGTGTGCATGATTTCTGCACTGTCACTCGATCAGTTTCTTCTATCTGAGTTGTACCTGCTGCTAAGAGAATTGCAAATAGAGCAAAACAATTTCAGAGCTTCTATTCACGGGAATGAGGCATTAACTTTTTTTTTCTTGACAAACATTATCAGAAATATAACCGCAAATTTTCCAGTAAGCTGATATTAGATGTGTTATTTACCAATATGCTCCTCCCTGGTCATAGTTGGCAGGATTCTAATCCACAGATGACTGTGAGCCCAATGAATACCCACCACACTCCAGGACTCAGCTTTCTTCCTTTTCTGAAGCATTTTTAGATTACACAAATGCCAAGTTTACTCCCGAGCGTGGATTTTCATCGCTCATCCCTTAGGAATAACAGTCCTACATAACTGTTTCTACTTATAATCTCAACAAAACTGTCAGAATTTTGATAACTTTCGAGTTCTTTGATTTAAAGATTTTGCCTTTCAAAAAAGATGGAGATAATTCTGAGGTTTTGAATGTAAGGATTGATCTACATTTGAAATCTGGGTTAAGTTGGAATAACAAGGGATGCAAATATAAAATACAACACTTAAAGTATCTGTGAGCAGAAAATAATTCTGGTGTAATTAGGAAGTAGGCTAAACCAAATCAAGCTGGAGTCAAACAAAAAAACTATGATATAGAAGTACGCATACACAGTGAGAGTTACTCAGGAATGTCTTAAAAGCCATTCCTAAGTAATTCCACATCTGTATCTCAAATGTAAATGAGCTCACTCACCAGGAGATGGGTAACACGGCTAATTTGACAGCTGAGAAACAGAGAACCAAATAACACAGTGGTGTTTCTTTCAGTATCAAAGCAAGCTCATTTAAAGCTCAAGTATTCATACACAGTACTCCAGGAAGGCATACAGTTAATAGAATATGAGCACACACACACACACCAAAGCTGTTAAAAGCTTGTGGTTTTCTCAGCCGGAAAGTTATTGCATTCATATGTGAGGCATGGTGACTGGGTTCTTATTTTCCACATATCTCACCTGTTACAGGGCTACCTGGGGCAGGTGAGTACAACAACTACTACTCTGGAGTAGAGCTGTTTTGCTTCTGCTTGCAGTCTGCCCAGCACAAGGTACCAGACATCATGCATTCTGGGTTCTAACACCAGAATTTCCTCACATGGCTTTTGCTGGTCGTCTTCCGTTACTATCAGTGATCAGTGGTGTGAGTCTATTTTATTTTGCATTTCTCTGATTAAGATTGTGCACACACAATCAGTTGACTGCCTCTTGATAGACAAGGGTCTGCAGGAGGATAATTGCTAAATTACAGTGAAGAACTCCCTAGAGCTTTAGCAATCCAAGCATATGTACACCATGGATCCAAATACTTGGCATACATTCATATCAGAATTGACTAACTTAAATGGTGTCTAATGAGAAGTGTTTTTAGTTTTTTCTCCCCCCCCCAGGAGAATTTTAAATACCTGCCTCTTCCTGGCGTTAACCTTCCTGCTCCAATCTTCTTAACTAGAAGTCAGTTTCAAGATATCAAACTGAACAACGTAATTATTTAGAGCTTAAAATTTTGAATGCAGCCTAAGCATTACTAGGATATGACCTACTCTGTTTTTTTGTTTTGTTTTGTTTTTAATTATAAAGCCATAAACCTTTCTTGCAACCATAATTTTGTTCAATATCCATTGGTCTGGCCGTAACAATTTTAATTACTGTTATTATTTTATTTAAAAAAAAAAAAAGGAGGTGACCTAGAAGAACTGAGCATTTCTGAGGCTACTGACCCATACTCAGCTCTTCCAACTTAGTCCTTTGACCCTAACTATCAAACAATAAATGGAAGAGTGGAAACAAAATAACATATCTATATTTTAATACCAGTAACAGCCCTGCAGAATGAAACTGAAGGGAGAGGTTTCAAACATCTCCAATCAGCGCTGACTCTACCAATTTCTGCAACTGTTAACAGACCCATTTAATTTGTATCCAAACAGACCAAATTCTAGGACATCGATTAATGTTCTGATGTGGGAAGAGACTATTTTAATAACCAGAGTTAGTTCTAGCAATAATTCCACTAAGTCAAAAAGCTTAAAATTATACCCAGCTTCTTATCAGTTCTCTTCAGGAATATTCAAACACAGCTTCAGTTTTTAAGTCTACCACAAGCTACTCTCTAATATTTTTACTTTCTTCTGGAATTAACAGACTCAACTTCGATTTATTTGTATTGATTTAATCACACTTCACAAAAATTGCTTGCAGCACAGTAGTGCTTGAAGCACTACTTGATACTTGGTTGTTAATAAACTAGGCCAAAGCTACTGATAAACACTGGTTTCTTTAGCAATAGGAATCAGTATATTAGTTCAGCAAAAGAAATCCATGAGTGCTAGTTCTAAAACTTTCCTTTTCAACTCTGCTTATTGTGTGAACAGCCATGTTTTCCTCAATGATTCTACTTCATGAGAAGCACTGGAGTCATAGACTACTTATCTTTGCATTTCACCAGGTGCAAAGACATTTACCTTGGATTTTCACATATATTGTTTTGGAAATTGCTCATTATGGCCTAACAAGAAATGGAAGTTTGCCAAATATGGGAAAAGCAGCTAAAGGTCAGCCAAAAGTCTCCATGATGAAGCTGATGATGGAAAAATAGGGACAAAGTACGTGGCAGAAGACCATGCATGCCCAGAGGGATATTAGTATATATTAATGAGTTCTTGGAAAAGAATGAATGTATGCTGATGTACTGCATATGCATGTAGTAACTGTTTAAGTGTAGAACCTAAACTCTGAGAAAGCACACTTGTTTGTCAAGTCACCTGGCACGTATTGTGAGGAATAAAGGAAGGCTGCTTTCTAACACCACACTGGAGTAAGAGAGCTTTCTTCACAGATTTCAGGTGACATTACCATCAATAAATATTTGATGGTCATCATCCAAACTTCACACAACAAATAAACACCCTATAAATTACTAAGAAATCATTTAGGAGAAAAACTCACTTGTAAATATAAAATCTAGTGTTCTTTGGTGTTACAGTACTGCAAAATGAATCCCTCTGAAATACAAAAAGCTAGTAGATCTTTGAAAACTCCTCAAGCCATGATAAAAGAAGGAGCAGCAGAATAGCATCAACATTAGGCAGACTAACAAATCAGTATCCTAAGACAATGAAACATTGAGTTGGGCTCGTAAAACTTGCTGCATGACTTGTCATGCACAACATAACCACCACCATCTCCTCACCACTGTCACGGCAAGCAAAACAATGTAAGTAAAATAACGAAACACTGTTTAGATTTTAATTATGGACAATCCATTAGCACAAAGGATGAATGGCAGGTAGAAGCAATTTCAAACTTCCACGGGCTGGCTAAAACAAAAGGTTTGTACTCTTGCAAGACAAAATGGTCTGTTCAGTTAGTTAGGTAATAATGCTGCAATTGAAGATTTCAGTCTAGCTAGGTGTGTATTCCTTTGGTGACTTCTCTGGGCTCTTGCAACATGTTATTTTTCTCTCATACGCATTCCTGTATCCCCTCATGTTCTGTTGTAGAAGGATATTTTCCTTACAATCCACGCAACAGATAGTTAAAAATAGTGTTCTCTCTGATTGCTGATGACTGATACATACCTGAAGTATGTATGATTATCCAAGCCCATAAAGCAGCTGCAAAAGTGACCCATCAAACCTACCAAAAGGGTTTAAGTATGTCAATAAATGCACTCAGTTGCATCATCACAGGCCACTAGCCAAATCAGAGTACACCATTTCCAGCAGTGTTCTGCCTTTAAGGGCAGAGTTACACAAGATATACAATTGCACTGACAATAATTAGAGTACAATTACTCTTTCAGCTCTTAAAATTACATAGAATTATCAGCAGGTGAAAAAATACTAGAGACTAGAGTCCAACCTAATTTTGCATCTACTGACATAAAAGTCATTTAAGCACTGTGACCTATAAATTGTACACAATATAGGCTCAATTTACTAATCATGGAACACACAGCAGCATTCCGACCTAGTTTTACCTCTCAGTAAAGACTGTTGCCTATTAACACAGAAAATAGAAAAATAAATCTAAAAGTACTCTGAGATTCAAGAACATTGGGTACATGAAATAGTAACAGAAAAAAATCATACTGGTTAGTGAAAAAAATTAATAAACAAGGCATTTTCAGCAGAATTCCATAGGAATTCTTTGCAACAGATGAATATAGCGCCCATATAACTATGAATTGGAGTTACCAAAAGTTACATGTCCAGCAGCTTGGAAGGCACTGTGAAGGGCACATAACTGTGATCCCAGAGGACAGGCAGGGGAACACAGTGAGTCTGGGCAGCCTTTTCTCACAGCCTCTGCAATGAAAATGTTGAGACCTCTGCTGCTCTAATAAAAATTCCTGGAATGGAAATGCTGTAAACTCAAGCCATTGGGAAATCAAGGTTTAGAAAAACACCTTCCTGCATCTGAGTCCCAGAATGTTAATTTCAGGTCTCTCTTCTATCAAATTGCTGTGTCCTTCTAATTGGTGCCCAGCTCCTTGTAGAATTACAATTCCATAAACATCTCATTGAAAATA